TTTTCCACTCCTACAATTCAAACACTTCCAAACAGAAAAAGCATTGCATATGGGAACGTTAACGAGCAGCCACCTGCCTGCCTGCCATACGGTTCCTCTGGCCCTGGTCCCAGGCAGCAATGCGGTTCCTTTTGCCCCGGCCACCCGAGCAGCCCCTACTGTCTGCCACTGGTTCCTCTGGTCAAAGCAGCCACCCGCCATACAGCTCCTCCAGCCCCAAGAACAACCACCTACCACGTGGCTCCTCTGGTCTTAGTCACCTGAGCAACTAGCTGCCTGCCACCCACCATACTGCTACACAGCTCTGCTTAGGAGGTGGGCGGAGCAGTACATTTTTTTTTGTGCGTGCACACAAGCGTGCAACTTAGAGGGAACTCTGGTGCAGAGAGTTTGGATGGTGACCAGGTTTGGGATGTAAAAGCGTAGGCGACTTATTGAGATTGGTTAGAGAGCCAGACAGGAGATGGGGATCCAGGTGGGCGGCGGGGGGGGGGGGGGGGAGAAGAGGAAGCAGGAGCTGGTTTAAAAAGCCAGTTTCCTGCAGCACCATCTCTGTGGTGCAGGGGGCAGAGGAGCAGGGCAGACAGAGGCACAGGACCCGGCTCTTACTACATTTAAAAAGTAGAGGCACACCAATGTGAGCCAGGACTGAGCAGTCCCAGCTTGCGCCAGGTCCTGGACCTACTCCCACTGCAGATCTGAAATTTAAAACTTAGTAGGAGCCTTTCTGCCTGCACACCTGGCTCCTACTACATGAAAACAGCAGTCACAGAAGCCCCTTATTAACTAATCGTGTACTTGATACAAATGGTAACATCCTTAGACCAGGGGAGATGGAGTGCAGGAGGGGCAGGCTTTAGCAGAGACACTAACCTCAGCATCTCCCAGCCAGCAGCCGTGCAGTACCCCCAAGGCAGGCTGGGCTTCCTGCTGCAGCCCCAGATGGTGTAAAACTGCAGGCTGTTCCCTCCCTGGGCTCTTAGCTCCAGGCAAGGGCAGGGAAGGCACTTTCCCCATCCCTCAGGCCAATTTCTTCACACCTATTAGCTGTTTTTAGCCAATAGGAGCTGTGGATTGGGCTGGGAGATCATCTCCCCCTAACCCTCCAGAGCAGAGCATCACATGGAGCAGCACTCTACTTATAACAGCAGATGCTGTATGCCTGAGGGTCCTGGCAAGATGGGCTGTGGGCCAGTGAGATCCCACCCTTGAGGGGTATCTTGCCTACCCCCGGATAAAAATGGTAGCTGAGTAGTGATGAACCCTTGAGGGGTATCTTGCCTACCCCCCAGATAAAAATGGTAGCTCAGTAGTGATGTGAATTTTATTGGCACCTAAAATGCTGGACTTAAATGCCTAAAGGAGTTAGATGCATTATGTTCTTTGTTTATCTAGCTTATAATACAAACAAAGCAGGCCAGGGTCTGCCTACACTGGCACATCTATTGTTGTGCCAGCAAGGCCCCATGTATCGCAAAGAGGAATTTACTTCAAAGGTAAGTAGCTTTGTAGCCTGTCTCCCATAACATTCAGTATCAAATACCTCAATTACTGCTAGTTGTAATAATTCTACTTTACATCAACTAACTTCAGTAACTATTTCCTTAAGCACTATCATCATTGCTGAAAAGATGGTCTGATCTCAGAAATAGTAATGTCAGGTTTTCAGAAATTTTAAATAGCAAGTAGAAGTTAGCAAAATGGGCCAGACTAGAATGCACATTAAATAGGGGGAAAAAACCAACCCAGGATTAATTCCAGGTGTATTTGTGGACTTGACTTTACAGTGAAATTCTATCACTTATCACACAATTCTTCACCATCTGAGCTTTAATTATATCTATTAATACCAGTTCTTCTAATTGCAAGAAAAAAACCTTCTAAAGGCATAAATCAATAGCAACCTTTGAGTTGCAGATAGCTTGAAAGAGTGAAGTATTAATTGTGATACTTAATATTTTAGCATTGGTCAGTGTTATGTTAATATGTTTATTCTGCACTCCCAAACCATTTCCTGTACTGCATTAGGTGTCAAATGCCTCACATACTTAACTTCACCTCAACAAAACAAAATTAATAATTCAGTTGTGTGAATGCAAGAATATGACACACTGAAAACTAAAAGCCTTGTGGCAGGATGAAATTAAATGCTGTTTGTTAATTTGCACATTTAAATTAAGAATGTGTTCCCACAATGGTATAAAATTTAGGTCCAGCTTGTTATACAGTAGAAAGGCCTCTTATTCCGGTCCTCTGCCAGAGAGATTTGGAAGGTAGGATGCTTATAACTGGGTTCTATTTCAGATGTTCTGAGAGCCTGGGCACACAGAATTAGTTTGTGCCTCAGTTCCAATCTTGAAAGTGGGGATAATACTCCCTTCCACATAGCTATGCCTATTTAGATTGTGAACTCTTCAGAGTCTTTTACTGTTTGTCTAGTACATAGCACAAAGGTGTCTTCAGCAGTTAGGTGCTACTGTAATACAAATAAGAAAGCTTTATCGTCACATGTGTGACAGTTTGTAACAGCAGAGAACTTAGTTACTACTCTTATTGCCAGCAGCAAATAATGTCAGTCCTAAAAGTGTGCTAAGACATACAGCGTGCTAAAATGCTGTTTATAAAATTGATTTCCTTTGTAACACAAATACAGGGATTCACCCTCTTCTGATCCAATAGTTTTCTTTGACAGGACTGCGTAAAAGGTGGATGTTGACCTTGCTACATAAGTGCAGAAACTTTCTACAGTAGTCTGACCACACAACAGAAGGTACAGCACATGCACTGAGTAAAGAGGGAGCAAATAAGGGACAGTGAAGTTACAAGCTTGTTTCCCCACTGATGGACACTTCAGATATACAGTGGAAGTATGTATACTGGATGTGATACCTTAGAAAAAGGTCACTTGAGAGAAGAGATGTGAAATGCTTGTGATAATAGGCTACATCTACAGTAAGAGCTAAAGGCATGGTTCTCTGGCTTGTGTATACATGTTAATGCTAGCTCAAGTATAAACAGCAATGTAGCCTTCATAGCATAGGTAGCAGCAAAACTGCCAAGGCATGTCCATAACAAGCCTGCTTGAAAGGAAAGGGTGCTAACTTGGCACAGCTAAGCCATGCCTTTGCTGACACCACTTGTGCTCTCACAGCTACACAGGTATTTATATTCACACTAGCTGCAGTATGTATACATGAACAAGTGAATCAGTCTGAGTTCACAATATAAATACAGGCAGTCCCTGGGTTACGTACAAGATAGGGACTATAGGTTTGTTCTTAAGTTGAATTTGTAAGTAAGTCGGAACTGGCTCCAGATTCAGCCGCTGCTGCTGAAACTGACCAGAGGCTGACTACAGGAAGCCGGAGGCAGAGTTGCTCTGCCCCCAGCTTCCTGGAATCAGCCTGATCAGTTTCAACAGCGGGAGAATCTGGAGCCTGGGACAGAACAGCTGGGGCGCTGCCTGGTAGGTTCCCACAGGACCAACCCGGCAGCACCCCAGCTGCTCTACCCGAGGCATCCCGCAACAAAAGCCTGGTCTGCTAGTGCACCCCCCCCCCCCCCAGCAGACCAGGGGGACAGGAGCAAAGCCACCCAGGCAGCGGGACTCCTGCCGCCTGGGCGGCTTTGCTCTTGTCCCCCTGGTCTGCTGGGGGGGTCCAGCTGGGCGGCTTTGCTCAGGTCTCCCTGGTCTGCTGCGGGGGAAGGGGCACAGCTCAACTTAAGAACCCCAGGCATCCCCAAGTCAGCGGCTGCTGAAACTGATCAGCGGCTGATTCCAGGAAGCCTGGGCGCTTTGCTCGGGTGTCCCTGGTCTGCTGGGGGGGGTCCAGCGGCTTTGCTGGACCCTCCCAGCAGATCAGGGGGACAGGAGCAAAGCCGCCCAGGCGGCGGGAGTCCCGCTGCCTGGGCGGCTTTGCTCCCGGGCAAAGGAGCAAAGCTGCCCAGGTGGCGGCTTTGCTCAGGTGTCCCTGGTCTTCTGGGGGGGGCGGTGTCCAGCGGCTTTGCTGGACCCCCCCAGCAGACCAGGAGAAGCTTTTCTCGCCCCCGGAGGACATGGGTGGTGACCCGCCGCCTGTGAGCTCCGGGGCGAGAAAAGCCCCGTTCGTAAGTGCGGATCCGACATAAGTCGGATCCACGTAAGTCGGGGACTGCCTGTATACAACAATAAACTCAAGCCCAAATTTAATTACTGAATAAATTGTTCATATGACCACACCAAATGGCATGTGAACTGCATAAGCATAAATTCTCTAATCAATCAGTTAATCACTGCTTATTTGCAAGTTTTCCCTTATTCAAAATAAATTTGTTCAGCAGTTAAGATAGGATGCAGGAGCTGAGCATCACAAAAGTTTAGGGTCTAATGCTGTAGACTGACAAGCAGCATTTTTTGATTAAATTACTTAGCACAGTGTTTTCACCCTGTGGTAATTTACTGTTAGGAGCACACAGGTACTGTTCTAAACGCATGTTCCATTCACATGTCTGTGAGCTACCTTTCCATGTTATAATGATTTAAAAAGGAGATGTCATCACATTTTGCTGTAACCCAAGGCCAGTAGTCAAAGGGGAGAATTTGCCCTTTTTCTGAATCAGTGTTTTGGCAATATACAGTCAACACCTGCAGAAGTAGGGCTCTGACTACAAAAATATTCCAAGTAGAACACAATCACCAGAAGACTTCAGTGGTATATACCTGAGTGCAACTAAGGGTACGTCTAGACTACATGCCTCTGGCGACAGAGGCATGTAGATTAGGGTACCGGACATAGTAAAATGAAGCGGCGATTATTTAAATCGCTGCTTCATTTTACTATGTCCGGTACCCTAATCTACATGCCTCTGTCGCCAGAGGCATGTAGTCTAGACGTACCCTAAAATATCTTGACTAACTTGGAAAGGCACAATCTTACAATTCACTGAAAAAAATCTGACTGAAGCATGTTATCTAAAACATTCAACATACACAAATAGTAATTCAACTGTGATACATGAGGTTTTGAATCAAATAGGTTTAATTTTATTTAAACAAAATTCTTTCCCAAATATAGCACTGTAGTCTTTGTAGCAGCAACCAAAGAGACATTATAAAACAATCCAGAACACAGAACAGGAAGAATACAAAGGAAGTATTTTCAAACACAATTAGTCTAAAAAGTCCTGGAGTACACAGGAATGGTTCACGTTATAAAAAGTTATAATAAATTATGTCATCCTTTTAGTTTGTTTTCCAAGTGATTGATGTTATGTCTGTACCTTCACCTGTGTTTATTACGAACCTGCACGTGACCTTAAGCTATAAGTTTTCAAAAGATTCTAGGAGAAGTATATAAATTCAGCTGTATTTCAATGGGACTTGTACACCTCAAATTATTTAAGGATTTTTTTGGGGGGGAGGAGGGGGAAATCACTATAGCTAATGAGTAGTCAACCAATAGCATAATTTAGATATTGTGCATCAGAACTTCCACATAGTGGTTGTAGTGATAAAAATTTTGGTTACTTTCCCCCCCTTGTCATTAAAAATCTCTCCTTAGATCTTTTTAAACTAGTCTTTAGCTTATTTGACTGTACACAATATATGAAACAGTAGCAAATTTGAGTAAGAAAAACCTCATCCATAACGGTCAAATCAATATGTGCTTACAGATTCAATGCATTACTCACACTGTATTTCATCTGAAGGTCTCTTTTGGAAAAGTAGACTAGTGTAGGGGTAAAGATTAAGAACTGGTTTCAAGGAATGGTTAACCAAAGCAAGTTTTTTTTTTTTATTTAATATAAATATAGGATGTACTTATTTTAATAAAAATACTTACTTAGTATAGATCAAAACCAAGAATTCCTTAATACATTAACTATATAGCTTTTAAATATATTAAAAATATCTTGAAAGAGGTAATATTTTCAACAAAATTAAATTTACTTTGAGGTTATATTAAAAATTCCTACATTCTCATAATGCTCAGCAGTTTCAGGGAAATGGACTCTAATTTTTCAGGGGATTGACAAAAGTTTAAGGCCTTTACGAAAAAGTTGGGGAAATCAATATAAAATACTGCTGTGCAACAATGATACTCAATTTAAAAAAAAGCAGTAGTACTATAAGTAGAGTTTACACTCTTTACATATGGTGCATATTATTTAGTAACTCAAATTCATCTTTCTTCCCCTTACTAGATCTACATGATTCTGGCATGACCATGTTAATCATCAAGCTTTCAATTCCATCAATGGATGAGCCATAAATAGCTGGAACTTTTGGAGTGGAAGCCAAGACATCACATACAGTGGAAAAAAAAAATTCATAATGTCAGGATACAAGTATCTAAATCAGCAGTTTAATTCAGTACAGACTGTGCAGCTTCCCTGATGATCGATGCAGCTTTATCCAATTCTTCTTCTGTTTGTTCCACTGTTACCACTACTCGAATACTGAAAAAAAACAACACAAGAGTAGGCTCTTGTAATGACACATACATTAAAACTAGCATAGGAGAAACAAAGGAATATCAGAATTATTGGGTGAAAAGTTTCACACCAATTTAACAAACTTAATCAATCTTTAAACCTCAGTTTGAGAATATCCTACCACCTTAATTAAAAACACATTATAAATGCATTCCTCAAACAAAAGAAAAGGGCAGTGATTAGTTACCTGATCATGGGGTGCAGAAAGGCTGCTCCTTTCATTACTAGGTCCACACTGCTTTGATGTTGAGGTGGGGGGGAGGAGTGCGTCCAGCATTGCTTTATTTTTAGCACTTATGTAACCCATATATTTGTGCATTCTCATATCTAATCCCTTGTCCTATTTGATACATTTCATGCTATGTAGATAGCTACTTCTTTTATATAAAGAACATCCTTCTAATCGGTTACATGGAGATCATGCATAGCAACAGTGTGGTTTTGCCCATTTTCCCCATTCAGATGTTTTAGTTTTGAAGAACTTTTATCTACTTTGCTCTCTGGAATACTTATCACCGATGTTTGGGGTTACAAGTATTTTTTTCCTCTCAACTTGTAGCAAGCACCTGTTTTTCTTAACTTTTAGTTAAATCAAAATCAAACAGTTTAGAAAATTTGGTTTAATGTACAACTGTTGGGCCATAAACTCAAGCACAAATGAGAAGGTACATAACAGATTTGTGAAGCAATGATTCTTTAGCAAAGCAAACAGTCATATTATCTCTTTTGAATTAGGCACTGAGAGCACCATCTTATTCCCACATTTAGAAATACAGTAAAACGCCAATTGTCCAGCATTCAGTGGTCCGGCACTCCCGATAGTCTGGCACCAACTGGAACCCGGAAATGCTCCGGCCACCCGGACAATTGGAGCTGCTGTGAGCCCCATGGGCGCTCGCGGCTGGGAAAGGGAAGGGGAGAAGAGGGGAAAGGGATTATACCCCTGTGATGGGTCTTCCGGGATCTGCACTGTGACCGGCCGGTTGGGTGGGTGGGGAACAGCGCAGTGAAGGGCAAACCCTCTGCTGTTTTGCAGGAAGGCGGGGGAAGCTGCCGCCGAGAGTTTCCGTGAGGGAAGCGGGCTCCCCACCCCCCAGACTGCAGCAGTTATCGCCGAGCAGGGGGGTGAAGGGCGGTGCTGTGAGACCAACCCGCAGCACCCCAGCTCTGCTCTGAAGCTTCTCCAAGTCCACCGCTCGTCAGTGGCAGCGGAGGACTTGGGGAAGTGGCGCGGAGCAGAGCAACTGGGGTGCTGCCGGGCGAGTGGAGGGGTGCTTGGCGCTAACTGCTGCACTCTGGGAGCTGGGGAGCCCGTTCCCCCTCCCAGAAAGTCTTGGCAGTGATATGAGGCTTCCCCCGCCTTCCTGCCAAAGGGAGGAGGGGCCCCTCGCCACACCGTTCCCCGCCCACCTCCCGGACGCAGTGCGGGTCCCAGCAGACCCGTCACAGCCCCTCGCTAGAGTACCTCCCAATAATCCGGCATATCCGATAATCCGGCACCACCTAGGTCCGAAAGGTACCGGATTATCGGAAGTCTACTGTACTTTCAAGTTCAATGGGCCTCTTATAAAAGCCTGCCAGGGTAGCAGTGAAAGCAATACTATTCTGCTGACAATGAAGATTTACTTTATCTTGACACACAGGTTATTTTTCCGAGACACCATAAGCCGTAATATCCATTAAAAGTTTATTGTAAGCATGATATTTCTCATTCTTCACCTGGCAAGCTATTAAGAAGGCCAAAAGCAGACACTTTGTTTATAAAAGCATTTAGGAGGTTTTCCTCATGCAAGAGGGATAAAAACAGAGGTTTCTGATTTTTGCTCACCTAGGTGGTGGAAGACATTTCTCTTCTTTTTCCAGATAACAGGCTTGAGTTAATGCAATACCTCTATTCATACACTGCAGACATATAAACAAACAGTTAAGTAACTGGCAACTTCAATACCACACTAGTATTACATTCTATGAACAACGGTTATTTAATGTCTGCTAGACAAACATGGCAGAATCTTGTATAGCACAGAGAAAAGTACACATCAAAACCAATGGCAAGTCCTGTATCCGAAGTACTAGCATTTCCCTAATTAGTTGCCATTAGACAACACTCCAGAATCAAAACCAATGGCAAGTCCTGTATCCAAAGTACTAGCAATTCCCTAATTAGTTGCCATTATACAACACTCCAGCGCATAAATGCATCCTTTAAAAGTTTAAAACTTTTTAAAAACTCAAATGAGTTTCTACAGTAGGTGGTTGTGTTATCCTAGAAGAGACATTCTGGGGCAGGTATGACCTTTCCTTCTGCATCTTATTACCAGCATTTTGGAGTGGTTCAGTTGATTTTTAGAGGGGGTCTGAAATGGAGTAAAAGGACCACTCTCCTAGGTATTTCATACGTTAAGTCAGTAGGAGTTCCTAAATAGAGAAGGCTAAGAATAGGCTTCTTTAATTTCACACTTGTCTGCAAGTTCAGCTAAAATGTTACTTAAAATAGGATTACACCAACTACTTAGTAGTCCTTTTTATTTTAAATATCAGTAAAATCATCCAACTATGTCTATTGAGTATTTCTGCTTTGCTTCTATGAATGCTTCACAAATTGTTGACCTTGATTAATACACACTGACTATACATCACTATCTAGTATCCCTGTCTATAGAAATCATTGCTGATGAAGTCAATACGGATACTGTGGATAGATTTAAGACAGAGGATGGATTAACTTTAGGACTTAACATTTGTAGCTATGCTAATAAAGAAAAAAAGACTGCAATTACCTATGGAATAAAGAGTTATTGTAGGTTATATACCATGAGTATTATCTTGTTCTTTAGTAAGAAGGATCTCATGGACTAAAATCACCAATGTAAGCAGTTATTGAGCCCATACAGAAAACTATGGATGTGAATGACTACATTTAAAAGATTTCTTAAACAGAAGAGCACCTATTAGAGTTACATTTTCAAATTTAGAGGAGCTCAAACACAAAGCAAGTACTGTTATCCCCCCCCCTTCCCGATGTCCCAAATGCACAAGATGCACTCATCTTTCACACACACCTCTCACATAAGATGTCTTGAGAATCACTGTAACAGTGGTTCTCTAACTTGCACTCTTGGGCCACTTGCAGCCCATCAACACACAGCTGCAGCCCATGTTACATTCTCAGGGCCATACAGGGAGTATTGTGCTTTAAGTGCTAAACTTTGTAACAACCTGCAAAATAATAATAATATGCTCATGGACTCATGTAAAATTCCATCCGGTAAAAATACCACACTTAAAAAAAACAAAACAGAAGTTCAAATGCTTCAATAGAGCAACAGAAGTCTGCTCATAAAGAATAACTTAGTTTTTAGACGTCTCAGAAAAGTCCTTTCTAATCCATTCATATATACATTGGAGTGGGCAATCATTTTTAATGGGGGCCACTTCAAGAATCTGGTAAGTGGTCAAGGGATGCACTTGGAGAAAGAAAGGTTTATCGGTTAACTGTTTACAGAATCATACTCCCACATCCCTTGTTTTTAGTTGGATGTTTCCTCCTGCTCAGGTTATTTTCCCAACCTTACTCCTGTGATTTTTTTTTTAAATCTCTTTTCCTCTACAATACCATCTCACATCTTCAAAAAGTGAACAGGCACCTGCTGTTCTCCTTATTCAATTGCTATTTCCCAAAAGGGGGTCTGGAAAACTCCAGGTCAAACCAATAATTCAACCAACTACCATGCCATGGCTTTGCACAGAATTATTGCTTTGCTAATACTTAAAGAGTATAGATGCTTTAATTTTAAAAAAGGACACTTACATAATCTACAATTCTCTTGAGTAACTTCATATCATTCTCTCGAGAGCCACTGGTCTCTTCCAACTGAAGGTGTAATGCTGGAGAAAATGACTCCCCCACAACTATTAGACCAGAGATCCTGAAACAAGTCAAATAGTTTCAGTGATCAGAATAAAACAGCAAGGTATACAAACAAAATGGTGTAAACACAAAACAAAGCTATTTAAAGGCTTGCTCATTTTTTGGCAGTATTTCAGGAAAACACTTTCTAAATTGTTTTACATTGGGAGTATGTGTTACAAGAGAAATTTGCATGCAAACAAAACTTTATGCCTTTGAGCTTCTATATACCAGCAACCACAACAAAATTTCAACTATGCAGCCACAAGTTACTCGTGAGCAGCAGCTAATTACTGAACAAATCCAACAACCCTACTGCACATTGTTTCCTTCTCAAAGGATGCTTACACCATGTGAATTTGGGTAAAATAGATTTGTTGCTTTATGCAATACCTATCTAATTTTCTCTGATTTAGCTGTTCTGCTCTAACAGAATATTTACAACACAAGTGGGGAATCAGTTGTCTGCCATAACCAATGTTAATTTTTCAATAAGGCTTCATATAAGTTGAATCCCTTTCCTTAAGAAATGTGAGATTGTAATACACAAACCTAACAGTTCATTCCTTGATTTGTAAGGCTGATTCTTTAAAAATCACACACCTTGAGGCAAGACTTAAGCACAACATATTTTACCAATAAAAGACAACACCTAGACACACCAATCATAATTAAGAATCAGTAGGGAAGTTAGGAGGGGAAATAACCTTCTCTTATGAAGAACTGTAAATTCCCTATCAAGAAAAGTAATCAATACAGTAGGAGACAAAATGAAAAATCCCAATTCTTGGTTTCCAAATATTAACAGCTTATCACATTCATGCACTATGCTGCTCGTGTCAGCTTAATTTAGATTTCCTAGCATTGGCAGATTGTGCGTTATACAATCCATTGTAAATATGAAGGATTTTTTTATCCCCATATTAGTTCCCTATAAAAAAAGAAAGCACAAAGTTAGGCTCTCTTCAGAAAAAACACACAAGTTGTCAAATTCATGGAAAGAACAGTGTGCCACATAATGAATCATGGAAAAATATTTTAAGGTTTGAAGCGTGCCTTGCATTTCCACAAAGTTCTATGAATTTAGAGCTCTGTTTTAAAGGAAACTTAAACTGGCCTTCCATTTTTTGCAACAATAAAACTGCACTCAAAATTGGTATTCTATAGATATAAATTCTGAAGTTGCTTCTAAAAAAAGTCACTTGCTCTTTAACTGCATGTTTAAATATTAGAATGCTGACTCTAGAAATCATGGGGAAGAATACATAGCAACATATGGATCCCTGAAAAACAGTCTAAGGCAATGTACAATGTCAATCACAAACAGACTACACAGGATGACAGACGTCAGTTGTTAGATATGTTCATAGTAGTGACCTGGAGTTACTGAAGGACAATTCTAGAAATTAACAGGTAGAAACTGCAGTCAGACATGGTACCATACACCTTAAAGGTTTCCTTGCACCAGATATTCTCTTCTAGCAAATATGTTGTCTTGAACTTAAATACTTGCTATTAATAACATTTTAAAGAATCTGCATCAATATACTAATGACATCAGTAGCTAGTTACACAATATGAAGTAATTTAAATTTAAATTAGGCAAAGCATTCATGAATAGCTTCAAGGAAACAGGGGATGAAGTAAGAGGACGGGTAAGAGTTAATGTATTTTAAAGCAGGAAACAGCCTTTGTATCCCTGCCAATTCAAACTCTGAATCTCAGTGACTCTGCTGAGACAACAATGCTTTGTATTGACTATACACTAGACTTCTAGAAGCTGCTTTGCAAATCCCTTAGAAGCTGCTTTGCAAATCCCAAATTGATGTCTAATTTGAAGTTGTCAGTTACAACTCTAGTTAAATAAACCCTAATCTGACTCAAGCAGCCATTTAACCAAGGATGAACAAAAAGAAATGCAAGAAAGTCAGTTTCAGCACAGCTTTGTCAGAGAAAGGGATAGACACTCAGTGTGTGAAATGAAACAGCTGGCTATACTTCTCTTGCAGGCTTTGGTTAAGTGAAGTAACATTTGAAAGTCCCCAGCATGCACAAAATACTAAAATCCCCCTGCCCCAGACTTTTCCAATGAAGCAACTAAATTATAGAACCTTGGTATTTTCAACCTTTTATCACCAATTTTTTTTTTAAACTTAGGATAAAAATTCATAATATTGAAAGTAGGGGTGTAAGCAAGTAGTCAGCTACCCGATAAGCCAAGGCAGGGGAAGGGGGGAAAAGAGGAACAGGAGCCAGTGCTGGGGGGAGCCAGCTTAAAAGCCAGTTCCTCACAGCATGGTCTCCATGGTGCCACCTGCCCTTCCCTCCCTGCACTGCTGCCTCTGATGCAGGGAGGCAGGGTAGGCTGCCACGAAGCAGCTTCTGCCCACAGCAGGCCCAGGCTCACCACAGGCAGAGGCTGACCCACATCCCTGACTGCAGCAGCCCTGACTGCAAGGGGTCCTGGCAGTGAGCTTCCTTCATGAACCCAGTTATACTTTTCGCCATTACACCAATCACTGGCAATGAGTTCTACAGCTGTGTAGTATGTGTGTGAAAAAGTATTTCCTTCTGTGTTTTGAACTTGCTGCCCATTAATATCATTGGGTGAGCCTCAGTTCTTATATTATCTGAAGGAGTAAACAACATTTTTCTGTTCACTCTGCACCATTAAATGTTTCTATAGACTCTCAGTCCATCCTCTCCACACTGGTCATCTCTCTTCTCTAAGCAGAACAGTCCCTGTCTTTTTAAACTCTTTTCATATGGAGGATGTTCCAATCCCCTTATATCTGGTTGCCTAATCTCAAAAATTACAGAACAGCAACAAAATTGCATACAGTATTAAAGACATGGGCATACCATGTATTTAACCTGTGAAATTCTTTGCTAAAGGATATTATGGAGGCCAAAACAGTAAACAGGGTTCAAAAAAAATTCTAGATAAATGTGTGGCAGATAGGTCCACCAATGGCTATTAGTCAGGATGGGCAAGGACAGCATCTATAGCCTCTTTGCCAGAAGCTGGGAATGAGAGAGTGGATCACACTTTATTAACACCTGTTCTGTTCATTCTCTCTCAGGTACCTGGAATTGGCCACTGGCAGAAGACAAGATACTTGTCTGAGAGTCCTTTGGTCTGACAGAGTATGGCTGTTCTTATTTTAAATAAGATTTGTTACCAACAGTTTATCTATGTAACATTAAAACTTTCAGAGTGAATCTGCTTGCAGTGTGTGTTTGTGCCTCTTACACTTCAAATTCCTAAAGTAAAAAGTTTATGGACCCTACAATTATACCTGAAAATAGAGTTACAGAAAAGTAGCACTGTTACATGTCTACTACAGTCTTTTATCCCAGTTATAAGTTTCAATCAATTATTTAGTGCCCTTCCTTTACAATTAGTTGTAAGAGAATTTAAATGCATCAAGCAACTAGATAGAGACCACACAAATATTGTTATTGGCAGAGAAAACACAATTCAAGGAGACCAGACTGTACTGGATTACTTATCACCACCTTTCAATGGAAACCTTCAAAACCTTCAGCAACGGACTTCATTTCTTTATCAGAACCCATTAGAGGGAAAAACACCACACACACTAGATTACAAGGCTAATCACTAGAAGGCTATTAGAAACTCCCCCTCCCCCACAAATATAGCAAATACCGTTATATGAAATTAAAAAAAGATTGTAATTGCTTGACCACTGCTAAAAATCAGCGGGCACTACAACTGAATTCTAAGTTACTGCAGTAACTGACAATGTAGAAATTCAATTGGAACTATAGGAGCAGGTATGATTCTGAAAATTAGTCAATTGCCTATAAATACATAAGTAATGAATCTAGAACATTTACTTTATTAACCTCAGTGTCACTACAGAGGATATTATATTCATGATACTTTGTAATATGGACCTATAAAATGCTGAGCAATTTGACAGTAAATCAAAATCAAGTAGTTACCTTTGTAAAGCTTTGTGAATTCTTTTGCATTTCTCCCGTAAAGTTTCAAAAATGTCTAAACAAAAGAAGAGAGCCTTGGTATATTTTTGCTGTATATCTCTATAAATCCCAAATACACTTTTAATATTTAAAACATTTAGTACAAAACTTTGATCCTCTTTACACTTCCTTATAACTATCCTCAATCCTAAGAGAATGAAGTGACGGGGTTTGAAGATCTGACATGGGTTTTCCCCCCACACTCTACTATTCTAGAAGAGTAGTTTCCTTCTAGAATGTTTTCTTGTGAGAGCCAGTTATAGGACATAACATGGAGAATCAAAAAACTACATGTTGCAGGAATATAACTGAGAGGTAAAACGGCTTCAACCTTTGGTAATAATATACTACTCTCTTCTTTAACTTACCGTGGAAGTTACCCATTGTATTCTGGTCAACACAGTAAGAGGGAAATGAGTAGGCCATTTATTTGTACAAAACAGATGTTAATGGGGTGTTCAGTAGCTCCCCCATCTGGCTCTTTCCATTTCCACTTTTTCACATATGGTAAAAAAAGGAAGAAGGGTGGGGGGGGAAGGGGAGGGAGAAAGAGATATGATGGGAAGAGAGAATGGGAGAGATGTTTAAGGGAGAAGGAGTGAAAAGGAGATAATGAATGTAAGATGGGGAAAAATAGCAAAGAGACTGAACAAATCAAAGGGTAACAAATGAGGAAGTGTTAGTGCGATTATACAAGGCATTGGTGAGACCTCATTTGGAATACTGTGTGTAGTTCTGGTCCCCCACGTTTAAGAAGGATGAATTCAAACTGGAACAGGTACAAAGGGGGGCCACTAGGAAGTAGTGGGGGCAAAAGACCTATCTGGCTTCAAGATTAAACTAGATGGGTTTACGAAGGGGATGGTTTGATCGGATAACATGATTTTGACAACTAATTGACCTTTCACTATCAGTGGCAAATAGGCCAATGGTGGGATGATAGGAGTTACTATAGAGAACTTTTTCCTGGGTGTCTGGCTAGTGAGTCCTGGCCACATGCTCAGGGTTCAGCTGATCTCCATATTTGGGGTTGGGAAGGAATTTTCCTCCAGTGTAGATTGGCAGAGGCCCTGGAGGTTTTTCACCTTCCTCTGTAGCATGGGGCACAGATCACTTGCTGGAGGATTCTCTGCATGTTGGGGTCCTTAAACCATTTGAGGACTTCAATATCTGAAAGGTGAAAGGATTATTCTAGGAGAGGGGGGTGAGATTCTGTGACCCCCTGCACAATGCAGGCCAGACTAGATGATCATAATGGTCCCTTCTGACCTTAAAGTCTATGAGTCTAAGTGCTCAACTAAAAGGGCGGGGGATGAAAATGGAGGAAATTACACCCACAGGCATTAATCTTGAGCTCCGTCAGCTTTCCTTTTGAGCAGAACTAATAATTTGTCACATTACAAAAGTATTTAATTTTTTAGAATACAATACCTGGATTCTCCTCCATGATATTAAGGGCTTCAATAGCAGCAGCAGCTAGTAGAGGCGGCAGAGAGGCTGAAAAGCAGTAACCTTGACCCGACAATCGCTGAGAAAGAAAATGAAAAGTTATAAACAAAGCTGAAAGTTATCATCAGTTTTGCTTGTCCATGGCTATATTATTTATATAAATAAAAATCTTTGAGTCATTTGGTTTAAATTAAGGAAAAAAATCATAACTTTCCACTTAAGTATTCAACAGTGGTTCTTTAAGTCATCCACACAATCTGTTTGAAGAAGTGGTCTTCTAAATCCCTATGTAAGTCAGGATTCAGTTTGTAAACAAAAGTCCAGTCACTGTCATTTCTTAGTAATTCAGCCTGCTATTTCATTTAAAAATAAGAAGCAGCATACCTGATGGTCAATAACAAAAGATCTTCCACAGCAAAATCCTCCAATAGAAGCTAAGGAATTCTCCATGTTTGCACTAATCAGATCTATATCGTCAATCTGCCATTAATAAATTACAAGAGAGGAATAAGGTGGATGGAGGCACAATGATGCTTAATTATAATCAAGCTAAATTACAATGCATGATCTACCATTCCAACAGGCTTAATAGGGCAAAATACACCATGCTACCATATACATTCATGCCCCCAAATAGCTTCAAATTAAAACTGGGACATTCAGCCATACTTTTTTTACACAGTTGACACAAACAAGAAGCTTTAAAACTATATTTAGAAGGACTCTTTATTTCACTTCTATGTTTTCAGGTATTGCAATATATGCAGCATGTAAAAATCAAAGTATGCATCTGTAGGCCCCAATCCAGGGAAGTACTTTGGTACATAGTTTATTTTAAGCATATGATTTTTCCCAACAAAGTCAATGGGACTGAATGTGATTTAAGTACACGCTCAACTGGAACAAGCTTTAGGCCCTAGAAATACCTAGTTGTCCCATTAACTCAAACAAGTTCTCTTTTTTTTGTGAAGGGTGCAATGCAGCACGTAAGAAATGACCTTAACACAGAGCTTTATTTCTGTCAGTCTTGACAGACTGAGCTTGGGCCAAGGGACTTTACATACAAGTAATCAAATGATGCTTGGCAAACATCATGGTAATCCCACTTGCACTTTGTTTCTTCAGAGTGCTTATTTGTTTTGTTGCAAATATGTGGGTTGGATGAGTTAGAGCAAATGAGCAGGCAACAAAGGCAGGAGAAGAGATGGCAGCGTGGAAGGTGACACTGACAGAGGAGGGAGAGATCAGCAGAGAAAAAAAGGATGCCAGAGGCCAGCCAGAAGGTGGAAGAACTGGACATCACCAATGTTCAAGAGGTTGCAAAAGTCACTTATGTTGAGGAAGCACTGCATCCCGTGTATGCTTTTCTTTCTTCCCCGGTCTATGGCTTATGAAAAGGCCACCTCCTTGTGGCTGCACTATACAGTTCATGCCAAACTAGTGTTCCAGAGCATAAGAAACCTGCTGAATTTGCAAACACTGGGAAGCGCTAGAACAATGAGCAGGGCTATGCTACAACTTAGCAATTGAACAGTGGTCACCAACCAGTAGATTGGGATCTACCGATAGATCAGATCTTGAAGCCTGACAGGTGATCTTGATTACTTTGGCCAAGAGGCCATCAAGTGCTGGCACTTCAGCTGCCCCCTCCTCCCACTGCTGTGCACCTTTTGCCCTTCGCTTTGGAGCTGCCCCTCCCCCAGGGAGCCTCCTGCTTTCTGTGCAGGGCAGGGGAGAGAGAGGAGGGGTGCTGAGGTCAAGGTGCTCCCTCCCACTCTGCATCCTCTCTCCAGAGAGCAAAGAGGGGGCACAACAGGACTTAGGATAGAGTTTGCTGACTACTTTAGGGAGTGGTACAGGGCCAGGACAGGGGTGAGCCTGTCTTTGCCCTTCTGCACCACCACCCAGGAGCCACCAGCAGTGCCCAGCTGGAGTCCACATCCTAAACTCCTACCCCGGTCATTAACCCCCTCCTACAGCGCAAGCTCCTGCTCTATCCCCAAGCATTCCGCATTCAAATACGATCCTAGAGCCTGCAGCTAGAACGCTCTCCAGCATCCCAACGGCCTGTCCCAAGAGCAGCTCAGAGCCCCCCCCCACACTCCAGATGCCTTAATTCAAGACCAGAGCCTGCACCCCAACCCTGTGCCCTCACACTGATGAAAGTGAGGGAGGATGGAGTGAGCAGGGGCAGGGCCTTGGAGAAGAGGCGGGAAGGAGGCGGGGCAAGGGTATTTATATTTGACGTAGATCTTGGATTGCATTTAAATTCAAAGTGATCTCGTGCTCAAAAAGATTGGAGATCCCTGCAATAGAAAGTCTGACTCCTTATGAAAATCATTCTGTGTCCTACTGAAGGGGAATGAGGGCACAGCAGATGGAAAAGGATTTGAGGCCTTCTCCATCAGAATATTTGTGTTCATGTAAAATTGAGTTTATGGTGATGTAGGTAAAGTAAAAAAAGTGCCTGGACCAGTGATCTCGTGCTCAAAAAGATTGGAGATCCCTGCAATAGAAAGTCTGACTCCTTATGAAAATCATTCTGTGTCCTACTGAAGGGGAATGAGGGCACAGCAGATGGAAAAGGATTTGAGGCCTTCTCCATCAGAATATTTGTGTTCATGTAAAATTGAGTTTATGGTGATGTAGGTAAAGTAAAAAAAGTGCCTGGACCCCAATTGAAGGACTTAATTTATCTTGGGGGGGGGGGGGGGGGGGGCAG